GAGGTCTTCAAGGTGGGTGGGATGGGGGTGCCCGGCAGCGACTTTGAGATCTCCGGGGTGGGTGGCACGGGGGATCGCCGGCAGCAACCTTGAAGTCTTCAGGGTGGGTGGGACGGGAGCTGACCAGCAGCAAACCGAACCCGCGCAGGGTGAGTTGGATGTGGGGTGACCAGACGCAACTTTGAGGTCTTAAAGATAGGCTGTGGGAATTGGGGAGAAAGGGGTCAGCTGTGAAACCTCCATGCTCATGGAGCCAGAGTCCCCATACCCCTCCACAACTCCCAGGCCTGGGCAAAGGCGAGTGGGAGGTATGAGGGGTGCCCCGAAGATCCGGCCAAGTGGAAGACCAACTTCCGCTGCGCCCTGAGGAGCACCCGCATGTTCGTGCTGTTGGAGGACCGCTCCAAGTGTGGAGACGACCCGCACAAGGTCTTTGCCATTGCCTCAGGTGAGCTTGGCCCTGGTGCGGGCTCTGCTGGGGGTAAGGGGTGGAGTGGGCAATCGCGGGGCACCCCGCTCATGCCGTGCTCCTTCCAGATGCCCACTGTCGCAGCCAGGAGGGGGATTCCAGCAGCCCTGACACTACAGTGGGCCAGCAGCTCTCTGCCCCCGCCAGCCACAGGTAATGGGTGGGCATGGCAGCCTTGGGAGATCCCCACTGCCACTGCACAGGCATTGCACCCCCATGTCCTTGGGGTGCTCCTGAGCTGGAGCTAAGCACCCTGCTGAAATGTGGGGCAGGGGGAGGCTGGGTGCCCCCCATCCACAGCAATAAGACCCCATCCTGCTTTGCTTCACAGCTGGAGCTCAACCCTCAAGACATGGCCCCAGAAATTGCCCCCTCAGGTAGGGGCTGCTTCCCCATTTTTTTGGAGGGGAGGGGCACACCCCAATGAGGCTCAGCCAGGGCTGATTTTTGGGGTTGTGAGACCTCCCACCTGCCGTGCTCCCCCTTAGGCAGCAGCAACTCCACACAGCCCCAGACGCTGGAGGACCTGGAGGTGCTTCAGTGGGTGCTGCAGCAGTGCGACATCTCCCCTCGCGACCTTGGCACCCCAACCCCATCCTGGACGCCTGCAGGTGAGTGCAGCCCCACTCGCAGGGTGCAGGGAGAGTGACACCATTGATGGGTGACCCCAGCCCCTTCCCACTGGTGCTTTCACTGCAGAGGATGCCCCCCACCAGGACACCCTGCTCCAGCCTCACCCAAACCCCAGCCAAAACAACTACCTCCCGCAGCTGACATTTCACCAATGGGTGCCCACAGTGGAGCAGCCCCCTGTGGGGACCTACAGCCCCCCGGACCCCATGCTGCTGGAGGCACGAGGTGCGTGCTGTGGGACACAGACCTGGGTTTGGGAACACCACAATGGGGTGGGACGAGGCTGAGGTGCTGCCACATGCACCTCATGCCAAAGCAATCCCCCCACTCCACCCCGAATCACGATGCCGATGCTGCCCGTCTCCTGCTGCAGGGGCCGTGCCGCTGCCGTGCCACCTGCCAGAGGTCACG